AGCTCTGTTGATTGCAGGTGATTATTAATCACAGTGTTTTCTGATGCCCATTTGCAGATGGTTTTGTCTCCGAGTCTCTTGGATTGTTTGACAGATGAAGTTTATCTAATCCTGCAAAAATTACACGATACGGAAAAACTGAGATACTTCCATGTTTCACGTATACAGCTCTTCAAAAGAATACATACAAACAGATTGCTACTTTACATTTGCTGAAGAGCAGAATTTACATGCTAGCTCAGGTAAGAATTGTGGGAAAGTCACTCAGTTGTGTTTTAAGTCAGAAAAGTTCACGATGATGGGCTTCTACTTTTACAAAGAAGGGAAGCAGGGGAAGCCTAATTTTGCACTGCCTTAAAACACAGACTTAGATGTTAAGAACTGAGAAAGGCTTGCAATCCTTTACTCTGTCAACCTACAAAGATAAAAATAATTACCTAAAACACTTGTTTTAAACTGCAGCATCTTACTGAAAAGCATTCATTGCTGATCTTAAGATCATTGGTGATGACCACATCCCCTCCTTAAGCTGTTTATTCGTGTAATAATATTTTTAGGCCTATGTTATTATTAGTTTATCTCCATTTCCAAGCCATTTTTTCTTACTGCATAGTTCTCTACTATGAGCGCTACTTAAAGTCACCCATCCTGCCCCAGGCCATGAATTACCAAGATAAAGATTTTACACCATTTGCTTTATGAAAGAAACTTTAAAGTTTTACCAGACTTGTTGCTTTAAACTCATGCTGACTGATGTTACTTTCTTTCCTTCAGAACTCTGCAACAGCCATTACATTATACAATGTAATCCCTTTACAGTTGCACCAAAAAAAGACAGGATTATGTGAGTCGACTGAAAGAAATTAATCAAGGTCTTCTCATAAAGTGACCTTAGCTAAAAAGCTGGGGAATAATGTCAAATCCATCATATTTGTGTCATATATCTGTCTCAGTCAACAACGCAACTTCTCTAAGATTTTCAGCATAAAAGCCAATTTACACACCACTGGCTCACTAATCTGTTCCCCTGGAGCTTCAAAACTCCACATAAAAAAATCACAGCATGAACTTGTTTTAAACCTTCACTATCAGTCATTTTGTTTTTCTCTGTTTGGTAGATCTGATTTTAACTTCATTGTCACCTGCAGAGGTGCACTCTAGGAAGTGCTTGGATTTTGTTTACCAGGGTGACAACTCTGGACAGCAGTAATGGGTGAAAAATAAGTACCTTTTAGACACTACAAACTAAATCTGAAGTTATAAACACTGAAGTTTCACCATGAGCTCTCAATTTAAGCAAGTACTACTCTAGGGTTCTAAAGCGGTAGGAGCTTCATTCATTAGTAAAGATAAGATATAGTAACAACAAAATTGCTGAATCTATAAATTTTATCCTTTTAGGATCACACATTTCAAGCCTTCCTGCTGTAGCCAGGAAACATGAATGCTCAATTTGAAAAAAAAGTGATAATTACCAAGTAAAGGTTTTACTCAGCCAATTACTAAGATTCTTTATATTCTGTACAGAGGTTTCTGAACATGTAGTATCCAGAAGAAGCATCACAACAAAGCAGCTAAGACTTTCACTATACTGTTTTTAGGGAATTAATACACTGGTTTAAAACAAAAAAAGGAAAAAGGCAACTGCTCAGCAGCAGTGAGAATGTTTCTGCACTCTCTGAAGGCTGAAAATACACCTACAGATCAATACCTACATGGACACATCTTTTAAGATCAACATTGTGCCTTGGCTCTCCTCACAAAGCCATGCATTCTTACCTTAAGAGAAACTTCCACCAAAAAGAAAGTTTTGTGTGAGTCATAATAGAACTTTTAACAGTAGCACAGCAACGTATCAATGCTGGATAAAGGAAAAATTCAACTACAAACCACATTTTCAGTGCTCTATTACCTAATGCCTTCAGGAGCTCTTCTCGCACAGCAGACGTGAACTTTCTAACCAGACATAATGTTGTCACGATAGCAAAGAGCAAGTTGTAAGATAACACAATATAGAAGTTCCCCAGCCAGTTAAACCTTCCGAAGTCTCCAAGGAGATCAAATCTGGTGATTCCTGTTAAAATAACATTAAAGATTTACATCCAAATCTTGATTACATTTTCTAAGAAAACTTAGAATCTCATCCTATTACTTTACATATATGGAAGCAAAATTCTTTCAGTCAACACACTATAAGACACATGGCTAAACACATAAGACAATGTTCTTAAGGTAATTTACCCCTTCACTGACCACTATAAAATTGTATGACACACTTATCAATGAAAATGCTGTAAGTTTCCAAGTAAAATGCTTAAGTAATATGAGCTGAAGGAAATTGTCTATTCTAGGTAAGAATTCTGCTTTTATAATTTCAGTAAATATAACTACAAAAACTGCTTGAAATCTCAGTTACTACAAAATCCTTATCTACCCCAGAAAAGGATCACAGAGTCATAAAATGACTAAGGTTGGAAGAAACCTTAAAGATCATCAGGTTCCAAACTCCCTGCTATGAGCAGGGACACCCTCCATCTCCCAAACAGATCAGGTTGCACAAGGATGAAATGCACCATGAGCTATATTAAAAAATACAGCTAGCAAAAAGTCTTTCCACCCGAGCCACAACACTTACAGCAAATACTAAGCCCTTTATAAGTGTTTTTTCTGAGCCACTGAAGACATCTTTCCAACTGCAGTTTTTCTCCTGGATCTTCCCACCACTATGGCCACAGAGCAATTGCACAGAAGGAAAGGAGTGTGGCTGAAACACAATCCTGACAGGTCTTCTTCACAGTGGACCTTGTAACACTAAAACATGGGCTTTGTGCTGATCAAAGGCTAGTCAATCACTAAGTGAGAAAAATCTTCCCAAAATGTGTCCACAAGCTATAGGGTCCATCTCATATGGAAGAAGAGGAACAGTTGCTAAGTTGTTGCTTTGCCAGGTCTAAATCTAGAACTGCACTGAATAAAGGGCAGAATATTGAGATGACACCCAAATAACAGTTGTATAGAATTGATCAACTACTATATTCCTTAAAACACCTTTGACACAAACAATGTCAGAGCAATGTGGACTCTCACAGTCAAGGCCAAAGACTGGGAAAGAAGGAAGCTGACAGAATCACAGAAATTACCTTGGTTGGAAAAGACCTTCAAGATCATCAAGTCCAACCATTAACCTAATGGTTAATTATTATTAATGTCTATAAATATCTTAGGGGTGGGTATCAAGAGGAAGGGGCCAGTCTCTTTTTAGTGGTGCCCAGTAATAGGACAAACAATGGATGTAAGCTAGAACATAGGAAACTCCTTTCAAGGGTAAACCTGGTACTTACAATTCTCATTGTATCTTAATACCCAAGACTTAGCAGTTAGCTATCACAGTGGTAAAAGGTACCCACGTTTCGTGTACTTAGCATTAGTCAAATAAAAAACAGTGGAATCAAATTTAGTATCTAAGAAAAACATGCCAAAATGAAGAAAATCAAAAGGATAATTTTCAAAGGATAAGCAACTAAGAATAAAAGTGACTGAAACTGATAAAAATAGCAAGAGAGGCAGGGAGAAATATCAAAAAAGCACAGAAGGTCTAAGCACAAGAAGAAGAAACTGACAGACTGAACCAACCAGTAAACAGATGAAGGATAATAAACACAGAGTTGCTTTCACACTAGAAGCCAAACAGTGTCTTTAGGAATATTTTTAAAGAGTGTGTTTCAGTCAGACTGCAGAGTTACAAGAAAACTGAGAAAGTCGAGTTTGAACGTATCAGCTTTCAGACCTTTAAAAGAAAAGAAAAACAAAAGGTAGAGAGCACTGGGCAAAGAATTCTCTGGAAAAGTAAAAATACTTCTAGACACAAAGGGGTTCAGAAGAATCACTAGCAATAGTTTGGGCATTACTAGGACCAACAAAAATTAAGCCTGACACTTCTGTCAGAGAAGTGGGAAAAATGCTGTCCACAAGTTACATGCATTTTTCTCTTCAAATAAAAAAGTCACTGCTCATCAGAAAAAAAAAAAATCTCTCACACTATAATTTTTTTAAGTTTGTGGGAGAACAGGGCTAAAAAGCTTTTGCTGCCTTTTTTACACACATATCTACTCAGCCCACAGAATAACATTTCCAAGACAGCAATCTGAAACACTACTCAGTAACTGAACAGAAAGCTGCATTTCTAGTGGATACAAATATATATCCAATAAAGTTGGTCAATTCACCAAATAAAATATTAAAGAATTGTTCAGGTTAAAAAAATACCATGGTTTTAGAGTGTACATCAAAATAATGTTTAATTCACTTTTATTTCACTGTAATAAAGAGAAGAATTTTAGGAATACTTCTGTGTATTGGAAAATCCAATTTTGCTTGCAGTTCCTTGTTTGGATATTCCTAGCTTTTAAAGTGTTCTGTTCCCACTTTGTTTCACAGTGGTTAGAAATATGGTGCTAGTAGGAAACTTTCTTCAAGAATGACTACTGAAAGGTTGAAAAGTACTGGAAAATACGAGTTAACTCATTTTTGTAAAATAACTGATTTTAGTAAAAACATTCCTGGAGTTGTAAAAATGACAGATTAGAGAAATCTACAACCCAGATACTTAGTAAGAATACTACAAACAACTAAATTCTCAGCTTTCAGTTTCTGTAACTTGAAGAGGGTCAGTGCCTGTATTAGATAACTTTTGCTTTTTTGCGTTTCCCATAATTATCAAGTCTAGTCTCTTCTGGCTAGATTAAAAACTCTCCTTTTTAATAAAGTGAAAAGACTATGAATCTGCTTAACATATTTACTTCTTTTCATCTATTCAGTGCCACAGGGCAGTAGCATGTAGTGCAACACATGTTGATATTTTTGCAAAGCACCACATGACTCACTGTACTCTAACACACTCTATTAATCCTGTTTGGACAGCTGTGACTGTGCATTTGTTAGCTGTGTGTTAATTGTTCCATCTTTTTTCTTCTTTTATTTATCTCTATGGCAAACTATCCAGGAATTTCATTTGATGGTCTTTAAGTGAGTTTTACCATTCATCTGTTTCCTATGAGACAACAATGCACCCAGCATGTATACTTATTCTACACAAGCCATTTATTATCAACTGTTAATCTCACAGATCATTAACAATTATTTTTATTTTTAAAAAAAACAAATTATGAATGCAGTAACTTAGGGAACACAATACTCGTGTTAAAATTTTATTCTAAAACACTAATTTTTTCAACATAACATCTTGCTCTAAGTGCTAGAACTCTTTTACTTCTTATGTACTGTACTGCCTTTTTCTTAAAGCTGCACTTCTTTAAATACTTTGATTATTCTTTTAAATTTCTGGGAAGTTTTACAACAGATTTTTAAAGCATGGGCTCTAGAATGTGCATTTTAAGATTAAACCCTCCCAAAAAGCATTACAGTTTTTTTGTTTGTTACAGAAATGATCTGGTAAATCTAATAAAAGTAATCACCTGTAGATATACACAGCATGAAAATACACAGTATGGTTTACCAGACTATATTAACTACTCTTAATTTGACAGTACTCTGGTTGAAAAGAAAATCGGCTGCAGAACTATTGGGTGTACATTATTGGTCTGTGGACCAGAGCTTAAACTCCAAAGCTTGTACTTAAGACTCATACAGCCCGAGGTGAAGATTTTTGTTTTGTTCTGTTTAATGTTCCCAATGAAATTCACATTAGCTGCAAGTATTCTGCACTACTTAAACATGTAATAGCCTTGTAATCCAACTTCCAAGAATTCAAACTGGAGATTACCTAATTAAACAAAGTGAAGGTACAAAACATCTTGTCTTTCAAACTGGTTAAAATAGTTTTTCCACTTCAAATGCTACTGTCAGCTCTTCATTAAAAAAAACAGTAAATAAACAGAACTTCTGCAGTTCTATTATGCTGGATTGAAAATTTTTATGTTTGAAAACTGAAGTAACAAAGAATGCAAGCAGACTATTTTAGGGTAAATTAAAGTAGCCTGTTATCATTGCTGATAAAAAAACTAACCAGATTAGGAGTCATTAAGTGCTTATAAAAAGCCATTTCTACTGTGCTATCTCAATTTTTTTACCTGAAATCCACAAATGTATTTTTCCAACTATTCTATACTGCCCTGAACAAGCAGACTGCACATCTACTCCTTTCACCACCTCCTGATTTAAAAATTTTCAAGTCTGACCTACCTTTTTAAAAGAATATATGACCTAAAATATGACTTAGCATTGTTTTTTTTAGAATGCATGTTCTGCAGTTCATATAGGTGAAATGGATATTCAACACCTCATGTTTATGTCAAAAAGGTCTACCATACGTGCTCTTCTACTGAAAATGGTTAATTACATAACACCATAAGAGGTACAGCTACAGGCTGTTTTTTTGTGTTTTTTTTTTAACTCGATTAAACTTCTTTTATTGCAGTGATTTATACTCTCATTTCACTTACCCAGTGTCCTTGACATCACTGGCAAAGCAGAGCTCAGCACCAAAATTGAGACACAGTTTCCAATGATCTGTTTGAAAATGACAAACAGCATTTAAGTGGTATGTTGAAGAAAAAAAAGCAAATAAATAAAACCACAAAAAAACCACAAAACAAACAACAACAAAAAAAAACCACACACAAAAAATAAGTGGTCAAGATAAAAAAGAATTCCTGAAAGTCACATTCTTCAAATCATTATTCTAAATCTAAAGCAATTTACAATAACATATTGTTAGTCTTGCTTGCTTTTGTCACACTTTTGCATATGCAAGATGAACCAAGAGAAGAGAAAAAAAAATCAAATATGTAATAATTTGCTTTTAATCATAGTGTTATGTATGCTTAGATTCAAACATAATTCAAAACTACCATGTTGCAAAGCCTCAACTGTTTACTACATTCCTGCAAACTTTTTATAAAAGAACCATTCCATGGGCTTAGAATAGATGACTGATACAGCAGCTTAAGCTTTGAGTGTAACTGCTTGCAGGATTAGCATTATTTAAAAAATTACAACAAAGAGCTTCCTTTCAACTGAAAGCCTGTTGACTACTTTAACTAGTACGAAAAGTTCACAGCTGTTAAGATTTTACTCTAGTTTTTTGTGATGCCTTTATAAAGTGTAAATGAAACTTTCTCTCACAAGGGATCACTTTCTTCAGCTCTAATTCTCTTAGAGTTGAAAAGAAATAACAGAAAACTTAAAAGTTGGTAGATATTTGTGCATTCGCTATTTATTTCTAGGCTGTTCCTCGTGTATTGTAAACAAACAACTGAAAACCTTAAGAACATTCCAACTCACTACTACCCATCATCTACTATAACCATGCTATGTTTTTACCTACTTTCTCACTTCCAACAATTTGTGGTAAAAATGTCTTTATCATCCCTTACTTTAAAAAAATATAATATATATACAAACAATTAACAAATTATTAAATTCAACATCTGTTCCTTGGTTACAGATCACTTCCCCTTGTCAGCTGTGGGAATATTTTGCCCAAAACCTAAGTATGTTCCTCTGCATTAGGTAACAGCATTTGTTATTCTGAAGCCAGTGCTAAAATGCAGAAAGTCAAATTAGCCTCAGACTGTAAATGTCGCTGAATAGACCTCCTCAGTCTTAATTTAATTATTCAAATTTGAATTACTTTGCCTGCATTACTTCTAGCAACCAAGTTATTCAGATTTCAAACAAGCTCCCTGAAGTACAGTTAGCACAATCAAAGTTACTCATTAGCAATACGTTTCCTTTGAAAAAAGTTCTTTCACTAGCTTTTCTATAGCTAGTTAACAAGCTCTGCTATTCCCAGCTTTTTCCAAGTGAATGGATGCCATCCAAACTAAACAGAGCACATCCTTTTTCCCACTCATTCAGCATTTTGAAAATCTTCCAGTTTGTGTTTACGCAGCTTACAAACAAATAATGATCACTGCAAATGAGCCATTCAGGGCAATTACTAACTAAAAGAGTCAGTTTGTCTTGGATGGCAAGGGAGAGGAGGGGGCCATCACCACCACCATCACAGACTTTACCTTACCTTTGTCATAGTCGTGTCATCCTTTCTGGGAGTGAAATTTTCAAAAAAACGAAGACTGTAGAAGCCGACAACAGAGGATACCATAAGATAGCTGTGAGAATCAAGGAAAAAAGAATCTCCAAGGAATGCAAGTTTCACTCAAGTTCTCAGCAGTCCCCTGAAAGTCTTAAGAACCAAAGAAAAAAAAACCAACAAAAACACTTCAAGTGCTTGAGAAGGACTGACCTATCTCTTTCTTCTTCTCAGGCAAGTGTCTTAGTAAATTACCAGTGTCCCAGAAAAATAGACAGAATACTTGTTAACAGACAGAATTCTTAAAAGAAAGGATACAAAATCAAAATTATTTCAAGTGCTGCTCCCACAAAACCAAAGGTGGATAAGGAGGCATTTCCTATTCCAGGCCCCTACAAGGAGAAAAAGACTTTGCATAACTTAATACAATACATGCAACCGTTCATAAAATTAACTTCTACCAGGACCAAAACTCCTAAGATCTCACATGAAATACTGCCTTTCTTCAATTCAGTAATGAAGGGGCATTCTGCAAGTCTCCCAACCTGGGCAAGTGCATCAGCCAGCTTTCCAACTTGAGTGAAATATATTAGTAAGACAGAAGGTTAAATGGCGCATAATTTATGCACATCATGCTGCATTGTATACATACTCCATTACTCTGGGAACTAAAACAAGAGGTCTCAAAAGACAACACTCCCAGATGTTCACAGGCAGAGCAGCCAGCACCACTGAACAACTTTTACAGCTCTGCAAGCTCAAGGAAAACAACACCAAGTTAATAAAAACCCTCCTCATGATTAAAGGTACTTCTACTCAATCTGCTCTTCTTGAAATATTTTTTATCATAAAGGAAAAAAAAAAGTCATTTTTTGCAAGAGAAATACAAACACAAGACAGGTTTTCACACTGTTTTTTAGTAAAGTTTCTTAAACAGAACATTTCTAGACCATATAGAAGTAGAAGACACCAGTAAAACGCAAACTCCAGTTACTGAATCACTGCATCTTCATAAGGATTCTGGACTAGTTTTATGAAGAACTCGCTATAACGTGACATGTAATAAATGTCTGTGTGTGCCCAAGACCAAAGCAGAGAAGGCTGAGACTTACTCATTCCAATGTTATTAAAGCAGAAGTTCTCACATGCACTTTGTAAGGGCTCCAAAGCTTTACTAAAGTTATAGAAACTGTAAGAGAACTTTACTTTACCCCTGATCCCTTTGGCATTGCAGTCTCATCAACCAACAGGTAAAGAATGTTGAGGGCAACTAGGAAGACTGAGATGGACTATAAAGAAGAGGAAACAGTCTTGTTATTTTATATATTCCAAATTTTTAAAAAGGAAACATTTATCCTCATCAGCTTCCATAAAGTTCTTTTTAAATGGTCATGAAAAGAATGTCAAGTATGTTGCTTTAAGACACATCACTCAAAAATTTTAAAACTATTCCCCCTAAGTGACCAAAGAATTCTTCATACTTTTTTGTTGGGGAAAAAGAAAAAAGAGCACAAATTCTTACCGTCTCAGTCAGTAACAAGATCATAACAGCTGGATAGACTAAGTTCCTTTCCCAAGCAGAAGCTTTTTTCCGCCGTTCTGTCCAGAAGAGTAAAACAGAAGCTTAATACTGTACATCACCTTAGAATCAAACAAGTTAAAATCATTCAGGTATCTAAAAGCTCCTGTTATAACTACAGGTAACAAAAGTAACCTTACCTTGAACCAACACCAACCAGTTCATAGAAAATACCCACCCTGAAGCACTGTACAAAGCAATGCCAAAAACATGAAGCCTCTTTAGAGAAAGGCTGAGGAGACATACAGAGGCCGATCTTTCTTCCTTGAGTACAGGCATGTTTTACCATAACATTTTTTTCCCCCTGACATACAGTTTTGCAAAGTTTAAAATACACTGAATTAAAAAATATGGTGTTTATATGTATATTTTGGTATGACCTAAAGAACAGAAGGGAATTTCAAAAATTTAAACGGCGTTTTCCTCTTACAACATAAGGCAAGAAAGACAAGACTTAACTCTCTGGACATCCTTAGCACATGTAAAAAGATAACTCAGCAACTTCTTAACTACAGTCTTAGTTTTGCACCTAACACACTGATAAATGCAAAATCCTGCAAGCCTTTGAATAAGTATGGAGATCTCTGCTGAGTGGTTGCCATTATTACCAGATGTATCACTTTTCAGTTTCAAAAGACAAAAACCTGCTAAGAAGTATTTTACTGTTCTGAAACACAATTTTACTGTTATAGAAATATTTTTTTTAAATAATGTCTTAAGATAATCCCAAATAATCATAAGCTTATTATTACATATAAAAAGACCATCCTATTGTGCTCCATCCAGGGAAGTAAAGAGTGTTAAAATGTCACTAAAATTATGTTAAAAACTAGATCACAATCACACTTCCTATTTAAATTTGTTTGTTAGAGGGGCACAGTGATTCCATGTGGTATATTTGTAGAAACTATGACTATTTTTAAGGACTGCAAATGCACAAATTTGCTTAAGAACAAACTGGAATGAATCAAGTGACTTCTACAAGCTAAACACAGGATCTTAAGATCACTTAATAAACTACAATCTAATGAAACAACAAAAAAAAGTTTATTACCTAGGTTCGTTTTCTTGCTTTTCACTTTTTCAAGCTCCCGTTCCAACTCTACTGCCTGGTATTCCACTGTGGAAGTTACACCTTTTAAAACAGAAGACAGTTATTTTATTTCAGATGAGACTAACTTTAGTACTGTAAGACACACTGTAACAATTCAGATTCAGGAAACACCATAATTAACACTTGTATCTTTATACTGCAAGTGTTTCTTTGAGACTCTCCAACTACATTTTAAAAAAAAAAAAACACGCTCAGTCAAGAACCCTCTAAATTTAGTCAAGCCAGAGGAGTTCAATACATCAGAGGTTTTACAGCGTGACTTTCTGTGATCCCAGTTTCTGTTGACCAGCTACTGCTGAACTGTCAGACAGGTCCAAAAAATGTTACGGTGGGGCAGCCTGACACAGAGTGGCTCAAATGCCTCAGTCTTCTATCTCTATATAACACATATCAAGATGGAAAGAATCTCTGGATCCCCTTCAAGGGCTTTACTATATAGCAAATTAAAGACAAAGTGGACCTTAGCCTCCAAACGAAGCAAGCTGGCAGCTCGACCTCCAGTTTCAGCTTGTACCCTTTCCTCCCTTTCCCCACTTGTTTTTCCTAAGCAAACTCAGTTTCCATACTGCCAACTTGCTTCTTGACACTTCTGCTCACATCAGATTGTCTGATGTGGTCAGTCTCTCTGTACCTGAGAGCTCCCTCTGACAACAATGACCTTCCTCACAACCACCCATGAGACTATGTCCTTTCACTTTCCTTTTTACAGTTTTCAGCACATGCACGTCACTGTTGTATAGCTCCTCGAACCAGTGGAAAACTTAAAACCATAATATTCATTCTTCTGTCACTAATTTTCTACCTACAAGTTGTTCAGTACTCTTCCTCCTTTCTCTACATGGGCTCTAGGGAACCCAACCCATTTTCCCTCTCCATTCTTTTATATATTCAACTTTCCATTCTCTTCTGACTACCTCCGTTTTCCAGTGCAAACACACTGGTTTCTCTTTATTCCAGTTCCTCTACAGACACAGCACAGTGTTCAATCAACATAAAGCTCTGAAGTGCTGACTACAGGTAATTCGGTTCTGATCTCATTATTTCTACTTTAAATTTTACTATCTGCAATCTTAAACTGGAAATACTCTTTCCAGGATAAATTAGAAACACTCTCCACTCTCATCTTTGCCCCACTTGCATCCCTTTTATTTCTGAATGATCTCACCTGAAAATAAATTAAGAGGGTTCACATTTTCCATGTTCACTCCAGGCCAATCTCACTCTGTAAAAACAATCTGGGGCAGTGACAGTTCAAGGTCTTAATAAACCCTAAGTCCTCTCTGTTCTCTCCTTTCTTAATTTACACTGAAACCAATCACCTGTTGGCCATTGCCCACCCTTGGCCTCTACTTTGATTGTGGGCTAACCTGTAGCAGTACCATGCTCCAGATACCTTTTTTCTTTAAACACTCCCTAATAAATTTGTAGGAGATTAACAGTCTTGTTCAAGCTTTTATCTCCTATCTTGATCATTTGCCTACAAAAACTAAATAGCACTTAGGTTGCTGGCACACCAGCTCTACTTTAGAGTTCAGTCTTGGCATTTCCTTGTTTTCTGCTGTCTGTTCATCCATCCAGCAATCTCAGTACAACAAGGTAAATTCCTCATCCCATCTAGCCCACACATTCTCCATATTCCAGCACAGTGGGATACTGAAAACCAAGATGTACAAGACATTTCCTTGGACTTCTAATTGGACTTCTAAAAAACTTTTACTCTTTATTTCTGAGAATTAATATAAATTTGTTCAATACAGTCAAATTACCAACAAGGTATCCAACTGTTTAAAAAATGAATTTAAAAATGCTTAATTACCTGCTCCTTTCACACATGTTTGCACATAACATAGAACCCCTGTGCTGTGCCTATACATTTATCTTTTACATCAGTGATAATGTGTATGTGGTAATATTTGCAGAGTCTTGAAATGTATGAATATCTCAAATCCCAGGACACATCAGTAAGACCTACAAATGTTGTTTTGTAACAGCTTTATTCGCTTGAAGTTCCTGCAAAATGAATGTCAGTTTAACTTCTCAAAGTTTAAATAAGCAACCATAATATGGGGGGGGGGTTTTGTTAGAAAAAGGCATTTCTTTAAAAAAATACACAAGTATAATAATTATGAAAACAAGCTTCTGTGCTGACACATTCCCTCTGAAAAAAAGCCTAAAGCTTACCATTTTATGGAATGACTAATCACTATAGTTTAAAAAAATGACAGCTATAGAGATTTGTAGAAAAAGTCCTTTAATGGCTTTTAATGGCAGGAGTTCAAAAAGTAAGAAAACTGCAGTTAGTATCTGAAATCTTCTTCTCCATAATTGTTTTAGAGATCTTTGAGGAAAAGTTTTATTCAAGATATATGTTGTCTCTCCCCCTCAAAACAAAAATCCAGAGCTCAAAACACTGATATTCATGGGACTCTTTCCAACAAAGCGTGATCTCATTAGGTCCCTATGAGAGACTTCAGGAAAAATTCTAAATCACATTTAAGTGCTGCTGTAGTTCCTCCTTAAAAGTATTAGCAAACAGGTTGCTATACAAAAGGATCTTTTACGAGAGGGGAAGGCAAAGTTTCAGATCAGTCAAAAGAATATTTGAAAAGGATGCAGCTAAATTCTTAAAAGCTCCATAACATTAGCTTTATTTCAAACACGCACAAAGTTCAATGTCAGCGCTGTCTAGCCAATAAATCAAATTGGTAGACAAGACTTGTTTGGACTAGCAATGAAAAGTTAGAAGGGATTCTCCATGAAAGCCACAAAGCAGCTCATTTAAGGTCAATTTAACGGTATTATTCTGTTTTTCTTCCAGCCCCGACATAAGATTTCAGTACCTCAAAGGAAATTGTAAGAGTATCTATTTGCATTCCCCCTAGGTGATTGGCAGTTCAACACCAATTAGTTCAAAATTACACTGTTACTAGCGTGCAATAAAAACAACACCTTTCATCTTTCTTACATAGGTAAGGATACCTTCAGAGCCAATAACTTTGATCAAGTAAGCATTTTTGATCCTACCCCACCCGTCTCTTTGGATTCAGGAAAACTAATAGCTGAAGGCAACTTTTCTCTTTTAATATAAAAAAGTCCCAGCTTTATTCTTCGACTGTAGGAGTGATGTGGGTACTGAAATATAATACACTGGAAACAAACATTTTCCCAAAGCCCAGTATCTCTTCAATAGATAAAAATACTAGGGTAGATAACACAATCAAACTTTCCCCTCCCTCCTCCTCCAATTTTCAGTTATACACTGCAGGCATTTGAGAAGGAAGAAGATTAGTATCCGCAGAGAAGATATGCAGTTTCACAGATTTGTTTTCAAATATGAAGAGATTTACAGAATACTTCAGCAACTGCATCACCACAACAGTTGTATCTATACGAAACAAGAAGGGCACCAGCTCGCACAGCTAAACTTTTGTTGTTGTCTGAAAATAGAGGCTTTGCCCAATCTGATCAGTGGAAACAGTGATTCATGTTTACACCCTTCCTATGCCTAGGCATTGTCTGAGGAAACATTAATGAGGACAGGGCAGAGCAGTGCTAGGAGTGTCACAGCAATTATTCCACCAAGAAAAAAGAAAAAAATCAGCATTGACAATCACCAAGTATTGCTTAAGCCTGAGCTCTGGTCCTCTTCTGCCTTAATAAAACTTCAACTCATTGGTTATATATATAAATTGTGTATATATTTCAGAACACTTCACTGCTAAACTGCCCAGCAGGGTTACTTAAGCACATATATTTCCACTGCCACAATTGTGGGAGAGTTCCAACTGCCATGGCACAGGAAGTATGTTGCCTAATAATTCTGCCCTGATACAGCAACCAAAATATTTCAGCAATCTATGTGTTAGGTCACAGATTGTGGTCTCTAACATCACACTACTACATTTATGGATGTAATTAGCACCACATCTCCATTTATACACATTTTTTAAAAATACAATAAACATGATAGGCATGAGTCTTCATAGCTGTGGCAAAAATGTTACCTATTTTTCTGGCATGATTTGTATGTATTAGAAAGACTTCTGGCAGAGAAGATGAAGCTTTCTATACTTGCTACATAAACGAGAACCATACTTAACATTTCTTAAATACATAATAATGCACAAAAATCTTGCAGAGTATCTTCTTGCCCTCCACCTACATGCTATACCCAAGTTTAGATTTTTATTCACACTGTAGACCAAATGATGGGTTTTCAAGCATTCCTTCAGATGCTAGAGTCAATACCATTCCCTCAGCAAGTGAAAGAGAAACATTCAGCTCCCTTTCCTGTCAAAGGACATTTAAACCCCTCATCTTTCACTGCTCAAGAGGAGGCTGGTGAGAGCTCTGCAGAGAATGGATGGATTGCAGTACCGTTTTACATTGAATTTGCTGAGAGAGCATCCAGCCTTTTGGCTAGTGGTTAGAGGAGCTACCTGCACACATCTCAACTCAAGACCCAATTAACACATGCCTACAAACACACTACATCCACCTCACAGGTGACATTATTAAATGGCAATATAAATAACTGTTGCACAGACTTCTACACAGAAAAACATCAGACAATCATCACCTAAATAATCACATTCTTCACCTGAATAGTGGAAACCATTCTGCCCTATTTTTAATAGTTACTTGAATAATTATTGGGTCATTTTTCTCTATTGCTTTTCTTATACATAAGTGCAATCACCATGACAACATAAAATAACTCTTAACATATTTTGCAGTTGCTAGCTAGCATCAAACACACAGAGCAATTATAAATGCCCCACCACAGCTTCCAAGACATTGATTGCATGCACCTTTTTGCACATCTGCATGTGTATGTATGTGTTAGTATAAAAACTTAAGCTTCCAAAACAGCAAAAGTGAACATCACATTTAAACTGAAGCCATGACTGGGTTTAGCAACAAAGATGTCACTACTCCTCCACAAATTTCAAATGCTCAAATAAAGGTATCTACCATGATCTACTGTTACCAAAGGTACCTTCCCTGATCACACAACTTGGAAAGAAGACTTACTGATATTTGAAAGAGATTGAGATGTACGACAGACAACTGAAAAGGAAGAGAGAAATGCAAGAAATTAAGAAAATTAGGCTAAAATAAGTTGCAAGACAACAGAACAATGGATTTGGTGTGACATGAATATTCTTTGATTTTCCAGCCTTAAACAAATGTATCAGAAGTGGATGGATGGCTTATCCATGCAGTTAAAAAGAGTTTAGAAGAGAGTTTGTACAACATAATTTTCAGGCTTATGGAACTGTTATTTTCTGTAATTGGTGTCTGTCATGCTGCAATACTCTAACTCTGAGAAGCCGAAGCTTTATACTGCTTTTGAAATACTTCAAAACAGAAACACCTTACCAAGAGCAAGAATGTTTTAGACTTCTTGTATTTAGTATTACATGTGTATAACTATTCTAAAAACCCTACATTATGCAGGAAGTTTATTCTCTTGTTCATAGTTCTTCAGACAAGGCTAAAATACGGTAATTTACCAATCCAAACTATTTTGCAGTAATGGTGGTGGGTCTGGTCAACTACTCAGTTTGCTTCCTCAGTCTCCGAATATTCATATATTAGAGCTGATGAACATGTTAAAATCAAAGCAAACCACACACACAAGTCAATCTTGAAAAACACGGTGAGCAATGAAATGTAAGCCTATAATACTTGTTACATGGTAAGATACTGAAATTTTCTATTTGGAGAAAAGATGCTCTGCAACAGTGAGAGCAATACTGGTGATCAGAACCAGTCCACTCTACACACTGTATCTGAAGCAGTATAAGAATAAGCATACCATTAAGCTTCCTCTGAATTGCTTCTTCCTCTAAAGTGATTATATACATCTGCTCATCTAGGTCTTCAAGGATCTGTATTGGGAAACAGAAACATGACTGAGTATCAGAGTCACTTGTTTTTCTGACTGCAGTAATCTAGTCAGATTTGTTTTGTTTTAGTAACCTATATTTTTAAATATATAGCCTACAACTTTACAATAGTGATACAAGTAAGAATTCCACAAAAGATTATTCCATTCTGATACTGGTCTATTTTTTTACTGTGAGTAAACTTTCTGTTAAGTTTTCACTTTGGGTTAAAGATCTTGTGTTCAGTTTCAATTTAAAGAGACTTAGGGAATAGAGGAAAGGACAGTGTATCTGGCGTGTACTCAAAAAATTCAAACAACTTCTAGAGAAAAAATTAACAATCTATCAACGCTCACACTTAATTTGATTTAAACAAAATTAACTGCAGATTTTGAAAAAGTATATTAAGTAGTCTCTTTTCACACAAGCCATTATTTCAGGCAAACAAAAACTCCTATTGGAAGCTAAACCCAAATCAATGTGTCTCTACCTTACTATCAGGTGCTTTAATTTTAAAGCTTACAGACAGTGAAACACTCCATATTTTCTTTGTAAATTCAGGGTTGGAAGGTCTAATGAAATGGAATGCAAGACTTACATGCATCCAAATTTTAGTAATTTCAAACCAGGAAACATAAGAGCAAAGTCACTAGAGCACTTGCACGTGGTGCAAACTTCTCCCTTCCCTCATACCATTCAGTGCAAGAACAGCAGAATATCTATATATAAGCAGGTCTCAGATGCCAACTACCTACATTTCACTCATCGAAGTGTAGCCCCAGGTACTATTCTTGTCATCCAGCCTTAGTTTGGCCTTGTATCCTTTGCTCCTGAACTCAAAACAAGCCCACACTTTTCAGGTATTTGCAAAAAAAGACTTAGTAGGCAATACTGGCAATAAATATTAATACTAGTAGCAGTTATAGAAATTGGAAAAATCAGAGGAAGGCTATACTAAAAGATGAGTTTTCTGTGGGGAAAAAAACCAAGATGTTATATAAAAAACTTTAAACAAGTACATAAATACTGATTCTAGAAACTGATGAGCTGAAATCAGAAGTATGTAGGAGTGCAAGGATTCTGAAGGCAAGTACCCTAAAGCCATTCTACCTCCTAACAGGTAGCACACGAGGACAGATTTGTATAACACTTACTGTTGGCTTCACCAGCAACTGACCCATGACTGTAAACATTCGTGAAAGTCCCACTGGCGTGCATACTGCAAAGGAAGGAACACAGTGATTTGTAAGTCAAAGACCAATTTTTATTTGGATGTTCAATGATCTATTCTACATACGACTAAGTATGGTTTTGAAGAGAACTGCAAGAGCTTCGAACTACAGTGCAAACTTTAAAACATGTTGCTATCATATGAATTCTGAACAAGACAAGCCTCTTCCAAGAGCACAACAGTGAATTTTTTGTCAGCAAGGAGCAATATATAATCTGATATCTTCAACTTCTCAAGTAATTATTTATTCAAAGCATGTGGCACCAGAGGCTATGTCTACACTAGTAAATTCAGCATTGCCAGGTTACATTCCTGGGCACTAAGACTTGATTGTCTACATCAGTAAATTGCTAACCTACCCCTGGAAGGATTTGCCCTGGGCCAGATAGCACTTTCCCAAACAATTCCCGGGCGCAGTTCTAGAGATCATGCAGTCCAGGAACCATTATCATGAGGCAATACATACACAGCCACCTTCTGCAAACTACAATTACACAGATAGAACAACACTATTTGGCCACAGCACTGGAGAACATGTCAGGCTCACTTCATCTACCAGCTGTAAGGTCAAGAGATCATGAAGCTGCTTTGCCTTGAAAACTTCAACTTCAGTTGATAGTAGGCTCAGCTACCAGATTTTAACCTCTTTTTCGGTGAAAATTGGCCTTTTTGATTGCAGCCTGTGAAGTACCCAGCTATGGCATATGTATGTTTGTTGGCCTCAAACACTGATAACAGACAAGAATTAATAAAAAACAAGTATTTAGGGAGAACAGCCTTCAAATACTGAAGTGTGTAGGAGATGGAAGGAATCTGTAACAGCATAGATGAGGACATATAGTTATAGTTTCCATCATCATAAAACAGTGTTATCAAAACAAAAGGGAAAAGCACGCAAGATTTTAGAGTGAGGTTTACATTGATTTTTCTTAACTAGAGCATTGTCTCTGTATACTGTGTATTACAGGAAAAATATAAGAGTATTCAAAAAGGCTAGCTTAAGCTAGTTTTCCTTTACTACAAAGGAAGCCTGCAGGAAGAGGAGAAACGAGAAAGGAAGGAATGCTCAAAATCATCACTGCAGTAAGCCTTGTTCATACACTCCTTCAGCAGTTAAGCCAACTTAAGATCTAATGAAGCTCTAGCCCAGCATCTACCCCCTTCCCACTGCTGTATGCTGCCCTTTCAGCTACACAGATTAACAGCACGGAGAGTCTTAAATAACTTCAGTGATTTGCTTACAAATAACTCTTCCAAAAATCAGCATTTAATCCCAGTTATTTTGGTGAACTGGTTTACAACAGCCCCAGAACACAAGCCATGCTTCAGACAAACTGCAGGGCAGATGTAGGAAGTTTTAAGCCAACTTCCCTGTCAAAAGATTCAGCAGCAGTTGTCAATCACACACACAGGAGACATTCAGAACATTATTCTTTTTACTTCTCCCTCTCCCTTCATTAAAGTAAATTTAAGAATCACCACATGCAGAGAACCTAAGGAGACTCACCAAGGTCTCTGTGATTAACACTTCAGAGAGAGATCTGCTTAGTTTTAAGAAGTTTCAAACTATTATTGCCCATTCTTTTTCTACAGTGACAGCTCTAAACCCACAAAGCCTTAAGAACAGGTGAAACCATGATGATCTAGACAGGGAGAGGTTCTGTCCCCCTCTCAGCAACTTTCTAGAACTTATCTGGGGAGGGCAGTGAAGGTTGAATTTGAAAAGTGGGATTTGGAGCCTTCCATCAGCCCTCTTATTCCCCTAAACACAGATGGCTAGGACCAGTTAGTATGAGGTTGGGTTTTTTTACTGCATTCAAGGAACATTTACTCAATATAGTACAACCTAAGTGTTCCAGAATCAATTTTTCTACTGACTTCCTACAGATATTTAATTTAAACATTGTACTCTTCTTTGCAGAATTGAGTCCCTAGTTTTCAAATACCTGCTTTAAAAAGTTAAAAACTGAAATTATTTTAGGTGAATCATAGAATAAAATCATAGAATCATAATGGTTGGAAGAGATCTTGAAGATCAAGTCCAACCACAATCTAAATCCCCCTACCATAACCTGATTTACCCATTCAGTGCTTAAATCATGTCACTAACCACTATATATATAGAATCATGAGTGAGTTGGGCAGTTCCTCAAAAGGTGAAAGTGTAGCATTTGCTCATAAACTTCAGAACCCAAACCTAACAAATTCACATCTAAATTTAAACATAAGGAAAAAATTAATTATAACCCCATTTTTCACACTTTTCTCAATCAAAAATAAAAAATAGTTTCTATAATCTTTAAAAAAAACACCCAACTTTTGGAATAATCAGGAAAATACTTACACAGAAGTAACAAGCATCCCATCAATGATATACAGGAATATAAATAGGGGAGGTAGAATTCCCAGAGGTCTGTAAATAAAATATTGAGCATAGCATTAGCTTATTACTTGTAGGCTACCTCTGTTACAAACACAACTAAATCCATTGTATTTTCAAGTATAAACTAAGAATTAGTCAGCTAATAATCCTGCAGACTACTAAGTCTCCAAGTACTTATGCTTGAAAAATATCTTCAGCTTTTATCAGCTAAGTAACTTGTTTTTAACATTTTTCATGTCCACATGAGCATGGAACTTCTCAGCACACTGAAAACTGATTTAAGAGAAAAATTTTACTGGCTAAATTAACACAGCATGTTCACAACCTGCCCAATATTCACACAGCCTTTCCTAGAAATACATTTCATTGAGAACATCTTTTTCCATAGTTAAAATTAAATTAGTGTGACTTTTTTTTAATTCCATACCATACAAAGACTCCATACTGGCAGCATCATTGTCTATGAGTGCTGAGGCCACCCATACAATTCCAAGGATAAGCAGTGCAAGAAGAATAAGCATTACAAGGGTTTCCAAAATTCGTGCTCTGATGCCCTGTGGGCAGAAGAGGGGAGGGGGAGGAAAGAACAAGAACTTTGAATCAGTTATTTTTAAACATAAGAAAAATACAAATAAATAGCAATTCTTTCTTGCTAAATACATACTCACATTTTATCATGTAGACAAAAGCATAACATGTAATGCACATTTAAAAAGCAATGCATAAAAAAAGGAAGTACTTATGGCTTTAGAGTGCCCAGATTGCATTTTTCCCCTTAAAACCACAAAAAAAGATGTTTAAATTGCATATGCCTTACAGTTCTCATTAATCTCATTATTCCATAAAGTATCCTTTATACCATATGATTTTGCTCGAGCATTTTTAAAAGATGGATTACTTTTCTAATACTTTCAGCTAAGAAAGTGGATTAGCAAATTTTTATCTATGACTCCAGTCAAGAGAATGGAAAGCCAATTATGGCAAATGGCCAAATGGCCCAGCAAGCATTAAACCCTGCACAGGTACAATCCAGCAATTTAGTTAAAATCCATTCAACTGCAATTGCTTCTGCACCATTCCTCACAGTCTTCAGAGCCCTCAAGTGCACGGTCGCAGTACTGCCTGCTCAGTCTGCCCACACCACACACAGCTGCAGCCTCAGCCATAACCACCACCCTTGCACATTCCGTGCTGAATGAAGCATGTACCTCTCATTTACAACACACACAACTCCCAGGCCTACGTGGTTACACATCACAGCCTTTGCTCAAGTCTAAAAATGTAACAATGCTGTTAAGTGTTTGATTTGCACATGTTTGATTTGCACATGTACACCCACAAATACATAAATCATATTTATTTTTTGTACTAGTGTTTTTAACTTTCTTCAGACATCCTTGCCATTAAGGACCATCAGATTACTTTTCAAATAACAATTTTAATTTATTTTTCTTCATTTGCCAGCATATAGTTCTACAAATAAAGCCAATCCCTGGCTTTTCACTCAGGTCCACCCCAACTTGGGCATATTCCACTGAAAAGTCTACTTCATAGTTGAAAGTAGAAAGTTTGGTTTACTTGATAATTTGTCTACTTTTATTACTTCTTCCATCACTACTTAAAACAAGAGGATAATCTTTACATGACATTTGCCCTGAAAATTATACTTCCTACATAACCACTGCATCCAACCATGAATAAGGAAGACCTCAGGCACCCTAACCGTGAGCACTGCTATCTTCTAGCACACCAGTTCCTCTCCCCCATCACTCCTCTGCAGAGCAGCTAAGGTACCACAAAGGAAAAACAGACAAAAAGAGACATTCAGAAAATTCCCCTTAAGGCTTAAATGGGCAGATTAAGTCCAGCCCCAGAAAGTATCTCGAACTCCAAATTTCAAATTAATAGTAGCATGAGTAGGGTATGGACTTATTCCTAGAAAGTATTTTGTGGCTTTGAGGTTGTTAGAAGTTACTAAAATGTTATTTTTATAGTGCTCATAAAACAGCTTTCAGTCTTCCAGTAGTTATTTTCGATGTGAGCATCTAAGCCAAATATATGTATTTGAAGATTAAATAGCCATATGTTTAACATTAAAGTTTTTAACTTGAGCAGTAAGTTACCAGGAAACAGATCACAGCCTAAGTACTGAGCACGGATATAGAGCCTTCACTTAACAACAGAAGAAAGTCATAGGTTTAGAAGAAAACCCAAAACATTCAAGGATGCATGCAGAGGAATCTGCTTCAGGCTTTCCAGAAACCTTGAAGACTCCTTTTCTCTCCCAGGCAGAGGAACATACAAAGCTAGTTTCTGGGTTTCTGAAAGCCTTATCCACAAAAGTGGGTTCCTTACTTCCCTACTATGAGACACATACACAAATCTCAGTCTCTCTAACAAGTTTCACAGCAATAGATTCTTCTGGACAAACACAGAAAATAGTTCCTTTTACATGGTGACTCAAACACCAAGTCCTCCTCCCTTGGATGGAGTAGAACCAGTGTCAAAACATACAGGCAAGAAACACACTGTGAAGGAGACAGTCAACTGTAAATAACATTTTTCACATTTACTGCAAGTGTTCTCTGAAGACAGGTAAGAGTAAGATATTGAGTAACACACTCTCTAAAAATAAGAGATGACTGCAAAAAGTCCTTGGAGGTGACCATTGCTTTTGAAAAAAAGTACCATTGGCACAAACTCTAGAAAAAGCCAGTCAGTCACTTAACAAGCCTTTGACTTTTTTTTGTTTTCATGCTAGTTTGAATAAGCATTGATTCTCAGAAAATTGTATCAACTCTCACTACTTGATACAATTCTCACTAGTTAGACGCATGTGATACATCAAAAATACTGCAGTCTCATGTATGAGTCCTAAAAAGCAGGACTGACAGGTCATTCTGAAGGCAGAACAATTTTTATATTACACAGCACACACACACAATAGGATTCACACACTGATGATCAGTTAAAAATAGTAAAAGCGTAACATTTTTAAGAACTTCAGTCAAGTGACTAGTGACTGTCACAGGAACTAATGAATATCTAGTAACAGTCCAAGACTTTAAAAAAAAAGTTAATATGCTTAAAGCATATAGGTAAATACTTAATATCCATTAGGCACTCATAAGACTGTTCCCTATTAAAACATTAATGTTCCAAGTACATTAGTTCACACTTACATTAGCGTATCTGTCAAATAGCTGCCATTTGTAAGGAATGAAAAGGTAAAGAACTTCCCCGCACACATGCATAGAAAATTTCTGGAAAGCCACAGAACAGTTGAGATGTGAAGAGATCTCTGGAGGTCATCTTGTCCACACACACAAACATCCCCCTCACCTCAAGCAGGGCCACCTAGAGACAGTTGCCCAGGGCTGTGTCCAGGTGGCTTTTGACTATCTCCAAGGATGGAGATTCCACAACCTCTCTAGGCAACCTCTCCCAGGAAAAAAAAAAAAAAAAAAAAAAGTGACCCTGGACATCCTTACTACTTTTTATTTCTGCGGAAGGGAGCTTTATTCAGGTGAACAATTTAAAGCTTGAACATTATCAGAAGCAACATCATTTATTTAAGAGCTAGGCAAAAATCTATATGCCTGACTTTGAAGACAGAGAGGAAAAACTAGGTAAGCACAATCAACTTTTCATTTTACTTCAATGAAAGCAAGACAATGCAAATAAACCTTGAAAGTTAATGCTAAGTTGTTTTTTCTGAGCAAAAAACTCTTCACTAACATTTTGGTTTTGGCTTAAAATTTCTTCTGCGAGTCATTTCACTTCTCTCTAACAGCCCTATTGTATAACTCAGATTTCTCAGATGAACTAAACATCACGGCCTATCTTCGTGGTACAGAGGATATTGTCACTTCTACTGTTGAACTTTTTTAATCCGTTTACTCCTCACATTTTTACACAAAAATAAGCATTAGTCTGCATTTTCAAGACAGCAACAATCCCATCTACACCTGGAGATTTCAAACCAGCTTCTAAGAGTACAGTTCCTGTTTGTGTTCAGCCTATACTATCGTACCTGCCTTGAGCACAGAACTAAAAAATGAGTATATCAAAATACATGTAGCATAGGTAGATAGGACTACTTCAAATTAGCACCTGTACACATGTAAACACAGGGGCAGGTAAGGGAAGAGGTGGGGAACAGTCACAAGTATTCCAATTCCATTATTTAATAAGGAAAAATTGCCCCATGTACTCTTATGATCTCTGCTTAACATTCCTATGGAAATTAAACTGACTATAAAAAGGAATGGGAAAATACTTTGTAATTTTAGCTTTCTATATTGTATTTGAAAAGGAAAATTAAGTTGCCTAAGTCTTCATCTAGTTGTCTTTTCCTAATGGTTATGACAGGCAAGAACAAGGGAAGTCAGCACTATACAACCTACCAACTTGCATCAGGTTTTTCAGAAAGTTGTTCTAGATCTCAGCTTTCAAACCTGCCCTTGATAACACAAATACTATTTCATTCTTATTGAGTCCTTCATTATGAGCAGAAAGCATATATCACAAATTCACTGTTTTATGAATTATTTTAACGCAATTCCATGTGCAATTTAACCTGTTTTAAGGGAGGAGGGATTTTTAGTCTCCAAATGAAGCACGGATCGCACAGTAAAGAGCCAGAAGGACATGTCCAGGACACTGACACAATGAGGAAAAGCGCATCTATGCTATGTTCTAGTATTTAAAGAAAAAAAATCAAACAAGATACAGACCGAAACAAATTATAGATTTCTATACTGCTTATTAAGGGGGGCATAAGGAGAACAAGCTTGACACCACAATCAATTAAAATATCAAACTCAGAATTTGGTACAGCATTAACTACATAGCCTTAAATAACACTTCCTTGCCATAGACTTATGGGATGAACACAACCATTGCCTTAACTAGCAATAAAAACCTTCCCCTCCACCTCAGGCTAAATTGTGTTGTTTCTAAATACAGTGATAAGACAATTCTAAAAGAGCAGCGTAAGCTCAGACAATCCACTTGGCTTTATTTTCAGTCAGACAAGCTGACCCTTGCAGTACTCCTATTAGCATATCATTTTTAAGGAGGTCAAATCCCTTACATTCTCTTGGCCAGTTACTGCTGGGATGCTGGTTAAGCTGGAGATGTAACAACTACAACAAAAAACCCACCAATATTTAAAATCTTTTTTACGGTGCTACAAACTATAGAATCGTATCATAGAACGGTCTGGGTTGGAAGGGACCTTAAAGATCAGCTAGTTCTAGCCCTCCTGCCATGGGCAGGGACACCTCCCACTAGACCAGGTTGCTCAGAGCCCCACCCAACCTGGCCTTGAACACTTTCAGGGATGGGGCAGCCACAACTTCCTCGAGCAACCTGTGCCAGTGTCACACCACCCTCACACTAAAGAATTTCCTCCTAATGTCTAACTTGAATCCATACCTTTTTTCAGTTAAAAACTGTTCCCCCTTGTCCTCTCACTACAAGCCCTTGAAAAAAGTCTCTCCCCAGTTTTTCTGTAGCTCCTTCAGATACTGGAAGGCCACTATGAGGTTTC